TAGTAAGTATTATATTTTTTAGCTAGAAATAAGTAGTACTTTACTAGCTATATAAAGTAGTAAATATTATAGTATAGTATTAGACTATACTAATAAACGCTTAATAATAAGTAGAATAGATAGTTAGTATACTAAATAATAGCGTAATATAGCTAATATAGGTAGGCTTATATACTCTAATAGTATAAAGCTTAAGACTTTAAAAAAAAAAATAGCTAGGCTTATAGATAATTATATATAAAATATAAATTAGTTATATTAATATTATATAGGTATCTTAGATTAGTTTTAAAACTTTATACTAGTAGTAGACTTACTATTACTAAATTACCTTCTAGAGTTATATAATTATATAAAGCTAGTATTAGTACTAGTTAATAGTCTAGATAGTTATTAGTAGTATATAATAAATTTAAAGTAGTTAGTTTGTAATAATTATAATATAGTAACTATTATATTAGTAATAATAATAGTAGTAGTAGTAGTAGTAGTAGTAGTAGTAGTAGTAGTAGTAGTATAAGTGTAAGTATTATAAGTTTTAAATCTAGGCTTATATTAGAGATTTGTAAGTTTACTATTAGGTTTAATAAAGTATTATATTATTACATAATTATACAATTATATAATTACTTAATTCTAAGAAAGTATACTATAGGCTCTATCTCTTAGGCCTAGAGAGAGATTACTTATTAGTTATTATTATTAAGCTAGTGTAACTTTAGTTATAATAGCGAAAAAGTAAACTTTAAATAGTTAGATCTTTTTTTAATATTAACTTACACTAAAATAAATACTATAAGATATTTATTATAATAGATAGAAGTACTATAGAAGTATATATAGATTTAACGTATAGATATAAAATATATTATTTTATTATTTTATAAGAAACTTAGTTATTAGATTTCTTATACCTTTAAAATTAGAATTCTACTTTACTATACTAAATTAGTAATTCTTTAATAGTCTTTTTTACTATAAGATATAGATCTTAATATCTTAAAATTAAAATTTTAATTTTATAGAAAATACTATAAACTTAAAGTTTCTTCTATCTCTAGAAGAGAAAACTTATTATTTTTTAATAGCTTATTTTTAATTATAGTTTAAAATTAAGCTTAATATACTATATAAATTACTTTAAAATTTATTATATAAGTCTAAGATACTATAGAATAGAAGACTATCTAGTAATCTAGATCTTTTTAATTTTAGAATCGAATAAGAATTTACTTTAAATCTATAGTAACTTCTTACTAAAGTTATTAAAGAAAGGTTTTATAAAATCTAAAGAAAATCTATTAAATAGATCTTAAAACTCTACTTTTAGCTAATATTTAAAGAAAGATTTAAAATCTTTAAAGTATAAATATTATATAAACTTACTAGTCTATTCTTATTTACTCTTTTAGCTTACTTATTAATTAGTAAGCTAATAATTATATTATATAAGCTAGTCTAAAAGAGTAAGGTCTATTACTAGTATATAAAAAGATATATTTCTTAAAAGTTAAAATCTTATATTTAGAGGTATAAGTATTAGATAAACTAAGACTTAAGTTCTTAGTACTACTACTTTTAGCGTAGTTAGAGCTTTTAAGATAAAGAGTAGTAAAGTTACTATTCTATAAATACTAATATCTACTAATACTATAGTAAAGAGAATTATAATATAATTATATACTTCTAATAGCTTATAACTAACTAAGCTATAAATTATAAAGTAATAAAGTACTAAAATCTTAGCTTATAAAATTATACTTCTATATATATACTCTTTATTCTCTACTTCTATTCTAATTTTAGAGCTTATAGTAAGATTAAAGATCTAAAAATTAATAAAAGAATTAAATAGTAGCTTAAATTTAATACTAAAAGCTATACTAGTATATTAAGTAAGCTTTTAACTATATTCTTACTCTTTTATATATTTTCTTAGTGTTAGTAAATCTAAAGCTAATCTTATTACTAGTTATATTATCTTATCTACTAAATTTAATTATATCTTTTATTATTACTATATTAATTATTTTGTTCTTAAATATATTACTATTACTACTTTTATAAATTCTTAAAATTATTATTTTAGAAGCTATAATAAAAGCTTTTAAAAACTACTATAGTTATACTATACTAAAGACTATTATAAGAACTCTAAAAAGCTACTTTACTAGTATAGAGCCTTACGCTAGGTCTATTAATATTTTTCTTACTTTTATTCCTATTCTTCTTATTTTTTATATTTATATTTTTATTATTTTTATTATCTTTATTATATAGATAGCTATTATAAAACTTTCTATTTTTATTTATTCTAGTTTTACTTTTAAGAAGCTTTTAAGTAAAATATATAAAGTTCTTAGTAGTTATAGTCTTTTTTTAAAAAAGAAAAAAACTAAAAGTACTATTTTATTAATAACTATTCTATTAATAGTCTTACTAATAAAATACTACTATTTACCTAATATATTATTATCTATAACTAAGTATATAAATTAAAAGATATAATAAATTTTTAAATTTTTCTAGCTCTATAGAAAGCTATACCTTTATAAAGAAATACTTTAGCTAAAGTACTTTATAAGAGTAATAAAAGCTAAAATAGTAAGAATAAAGTATTTATAGATTACTGTATATAGTAATATACTATTTATTAAATAGTAGCTATAATAGACTACTATAATTTCTAATAAGACTTAGACTATAGAATAGTTATTATACTATAGTTATTAGAGTAGTACCTTAAGCCTAATTTAGTATTATATTTATAGTAAAGTAGTATTAAAAGATATTAAAAGATATTAAAAGACTTTAAGCTAGTCTCTTTTAGAATTACTTAATAATTTCTATATTTATTTAGTATATATTACTATTTTAATATACTTATTTTAGTCTATAGTATAGACTTATTTTATACTTATATATATAAGTTTCTAGTTTATATTAGAACTAGAAATAACTAGAAATAACTAATATAATATATAGTAATAGGTATACTACTAACTAGACTTACTATATTTATTCTCTATTAATAATAATCTTATTTTAAGTTAATAGCTAATAAAAGTAACATAATAACTACTAACCTTTAAGATAACTATAGTATAACTCTATAGTATCTATTTAAGTAATAGTATTAAAGAGTATAGTATAAGCTAGAAACGCTATATTTTTAGTATTCTAATTCTTAATATTTATATAATTAATCTTCGCTAGTATACTATACTACTACTAGATAGTAGCCTCTATACTTAGAGATAGCTTTATTTTAAACTTTAGAGCGTATATAAAGTTATAAATATAAATAGTATAAGTAATTAGTAAATTTAACTTCTTTATACTAGTAATAAAGTAATCTTTAACTTAATCTATATTTTTAATAAAAGAATATTTATAAAAGAGCTTATATATCTTACTAATAAGCTCTTTAAAAGTAAGACTAAAAAAGAAAATAATAAAAAGTCTTAACCTAAGTAAATATATTTATAAGATAGTAATAACTAAAGCTTTAATAAAAGCTTTAATAAGAGCTAAAATAGAACTTTTAATAAAAGTATAGATAAAGTAGCTCTTTAAATATTTAGAAATACCTTTTAGAGTACTTAAAATATTAGGTATTATATTATAAATAATATTTTATATAATTACTACTAAAATAGCCTTTAGAATAGCTATTATAATAGCTTTCTTTTTAATATAATTAGAGTAAATTATAAAGACTTTAGTAATAGTAATAGAGTAATAGAAGTATTTAGTTAATAATAAAGTAGCTTATAAGCTTTAGTAAGTAAAGTAATATAATTAGTAATAAGATTAGTCTAATATTAACTTATAACTACTTATAAGACCTATAAGATAGTAAGTTAGTATACTAGTGTAGCTTTTAGTATAAGATTTAAATTACTATTAGCTTTTTAATATATATTTAGAGTTTTAAAAGTTATAGAAATATAAAAAATATAAAAAGCGTACTTGTACTAAACTATTAGTATCTATATTCTAACTATAAACTTTTAAAATATATTACTCTATTAGTTATAAGCTAATAAGTATATATAATTAAATTATAATTCTTTTATAAAGTTCTCTTATAATGTATTTAGTATACTAATAAAAAATAAGATATTAAGTATTAGAATAGCTACTTTATAAGCTTATAAAATTTTAAAGCGTTAACTATTTTAAAGATAGTAGCGCTAAAACTTTAAGCTTTAGCTTATATAATACTATATTTCTAAAAGTAAGTAAAAGATTTAGCTATATATTTTTTAAAGTACTAGTAATAGTTTTTACTTTTTTAGAATTACTAGCTCTTTAAGCTATAAGTATTACTACTTAATATCTAGATTTCTACTTAATAAGAGTTTTTAGAGAATAAATACTATAAAGTCTAGTAGTAGTTTAAAACTACTATATAAAGAAAGTATATAAATATATATAGTTAGAGTTAGATATTAGTACTAATAGTAATATATACTTAATATCTTAAAATCTTATAATCTTTTAGCTATTCTAAGATAATAGCTTAGTATTTTTAAATATCTTTTTACTAAATACTAACTTTAAAATTAGATAGAAGATACTATAAACTAATTATATATATATCTTATACTAAATATATATAATTTTACTTTTAGTTAAAATCTTTTTCTATACTATTAATTTTTATCTAAAGATTAAATATTTATTATATATAGTAACTTAACGTAGGCATTATATAGATTTATTACTATTAATATCTCTAAAACGCTAACTTTCTATACTTATAGTAATTTATTTTATAGCTAATAGAATATAAGCTTTAATTAACTAATAAGATTTTTTACTTTTTAGGTTATGTTTAATCTATAAGGCACTGTAAGTAGAGCAATAAACACCTAATATAAGTCTAACTTGCGAGACTCCGCGCGCGCTGCCTAGTTGCTGTTCTCTACTTTAACATCGAACATCTACACTAAGCTAATTACGCTCCCAGAGAACATGCACAACCTACGCCGACATCACGTGTTGAGACCGCTCATCATAGCATTGAACGCGCTATCGTCAATAGGCCCCACGCTGCGCTTCCAAGCCTTAATCTTGCGCTGCTCTTCAAGAATCGCGGCATCATCAGGATTACGGGTAGCCAGCATGTCGATGGTCGCAAGCGCAAACGGAACCAAGCTCGACTCTCCCCAAAGCCTCAGAAATTTGGCGTATCGAAACGTACTCCTCATCTCCTGCGCCGGCGAAGGTTTCCATGAGTGCGCGACGCCCCAGTATCCTTCCTCGGTGCTACTTTTCACCTCTCCGTAGGACTTCTGAATGCCGGGCAGGACCTCGCGATCTCCTTCTTCTAGCCATTTGAGTCCGATGGCTACGATGTTGAGGTTCGTGGTGTAGTAGAGCTCGGCAACCTTTGCTACAACTGAAGGGTCGCCTTCTTCGACCAGACGCTTCCATGTGTCTGACTTGTGGGCTTCATCGATCTCGTCTCTGACCCCAGCCCAAAGTTTCAGGCAGCCACCGTCGCCTTGTTTGAACAGCTGTGTACCCTCGGCTTTTCTCTCGGTCCATGATGAAATGACAGCGTCAAGATCATGGAATTTGCTGCGTGCGAAGTCTTCTTTGGCTGACGTAGCAAGTAATTCCTCGACAGTACCACCAATGGTGACTCGTGGCATGTCGCGGAAGCTCTGGCGGAAAGGCTTCAACAGCTCCTCCTGGGTTTTGGAAGAAGAGAAGTAGTCCGTTGGGCCCTCGAGCTGGTATGGTGGACGCTTGAGCACCGGTGCAAGTTCGAAATCCAAGGTAACAAGACTCTTGTAGTCTTCTAGGCGATCGTCGCCTCCTTTGATAGCCTCGCAGAGGAGCTTGACGTCCCGAAACAGCATGATAACGTTGCAAGGCTCCAACAGCTCTGAAGGTGGCAACTCCTTCCTCCATCGAGGGTTGCTGTTCCCAATTGTGACATGCATGGCGTAGCCTCGGAAACGTTGGGTGATGGGCTTAATGACCTTGTTCCCACTCTTCTTCTTCGTCTTGGTGCCATTGTCCAAGTCGAAAGCTAGCGTTGGCACGGAATTCGCCTTGAGCATGTAGGCGAAATGTAGACCGCCAGTCGAAGACACGAGCAGGAACCGGTTCCCCTTGATCATGGCGTCGTAGCTTTCGGCGTAAATTTGCTTATTAGCGCGGAGGATACTTGGACTGAAGTCTTTCTTAGACAGCATGGTGCCGTGCGTAACAGACTCGGGACGTGGGAATGTGCATAGTAGGATGCCATATATCTTGTCGCGAATCTCGCGGGGGAGATCGAGGAAGCGAAAAGAAGCCATGTCTGGGGATTCTGGTGAACTGTTCGGGACGATGTGTAGAGGTCGTGTTCGGGCAGAGAACGGGATCGTGCGGGGCTTAAATTCAACGGCGGTGAGTGGATACCCTTCGGTCTAGTACGTTGTGGGTTAGGCTGAAACCGCATGTCGATGAGTACTTGCGCGGCCTCTTTTGCGCAATTCTAGTAATCATTCGACAGCAGTCAGATCTTGCCTCAGCGCATTAGGGGCATTAAGACCGATCTGTCACAACACTTGCAGGAGACACATGTTCAAAACCATCCATAGCAAGGGTATCCTTGGCAGCAGGACTGATGAGGAACTTTTCTTGCTGTTGAGCCGCGACTACAAGCTTCCTTCCGGCTTTTGATACACTGGCATCGCTACATCGGGATCGTATGTAGACTGCACGACCTTGCTTCCTGGGGGTAATAATATACTGGTGCCATCAGGTAATTCCGCTTCCTCGGATCTATCGCTCGCGATCATCCATGCGCTCTTCAAGCCCGCCTCTCTCGCAATATCTTCTTTGATTCGATAGACAATCTCCGGCCGTGGAATGAAGTTGTCCAAGTCTCTGCCATTTGTACTCTCTTCTAGCTCGTCCGGTGTAGCTGTGACCCAAGTTGGGTTTACGTAACGATACTTGATATGATCGAAACCCATGCAGAATATTTTGCTCTGAACAAAGTCCTCCGGTATAGGATACGGCACATCGACAGTTTCTAGATCGTTTCGAATATCGGTATTGGCGATATTGTAGTTCACATACGTGATGACCACATCGCGGATATCCATGCGAATCTTATATAGAGTGTCCAAGTTCTCGGCCAATCCCTCATCGACGTCATGTTGCTCAGCAAAGCCTTCGAGATACCAGATACCGCCGTCGATGGGTGTTTGAGCGTCGATGACAAGCAAGGGATCTGCTTCCGGGAAGGCTCTCCTCAAGTCTGCATGGGAGAGGTTTGACAAGTCGCGTTTGTCTTCGATGAACAGCTGCTCTGCAGGATATGGGGAGCACATGTTGGCGCCAATGCCGAACAGTTCCTGGACTGCATCGAGTTGGGTGGGTGTAAGATCAGCGGTGAGAATGCCAAGAAAGCGCTCTTTGTCGCGGTACAAGTTCGGGTCGTAGACCATGCTTAGGTACGTAGGTAGCCCTTGAGGTGATCAGGATGCCTCGGAAAGTGCGTATCGCATGGCCTCGATACAAGCAAGTTGTTGGTCGTTATAGCTTCCCAAGGGCTGCTTCTTGGCTTTTAAGATGGCAACGCGCACGCTGATTGCACGCCTAATGACCGTCTGACGTCACACGTCGCGGGACGCGTTCCAGAACGCGTTTTGACATTTGCCACGGCAAAACCGGGACCGCGTGCTGGAGCCTACGAGGCTGAACGCCCAACTGCCTGGTCACGATGATTGGAAGCGCAGTGCTGATGTGTTGTTCCCAACCATTGGTCCTATGCAAAGTCAGCGTATGCATACCTAGGTAAGCAGGCGCATCATCGCAGCTGAACTTTGCCCTTGCGCAACACTTTCTTCGGACGTCGCAACTCTCGTTTAAATTGATCAGTTATCTCACGGTCGCGTTAGCCGGCTATCTGCATCCTCACTGTCCGTACGCTGGCGTCTTTGTGTGTCGCAATCGCGATCATCCGACTCGCACGTTCAGCCTTCCACCGTACTACTTGCACCATGTGGCCCATGAGCTTGTTTTTGGCCGCTCTAATCACCTGTATGCTTCTCGGTCTTTCGCGCTTGACCCTGGAAGGCCTTTCCGTGAGGGCAGCCTTGGTTGTGTATATTGGGGCAATCACCTGTATGCTCTTTGATCTTCAGTTGCTGCCAACAGGTACGCTGCCATCAGCTACGTGGTATGAGTATCCATGGTCACAGAGGGATTATGCTAGGTTAGCCGATCCGAAGTCATCTATTCGTCTTCTGCGAATGCGCCACGCCACAGGCAGGATAGAGCTTACTTTGGAGGAAGCGTCATTCTCGTCGTGGCCTTCGTATACTGCTCTATCATACACGTGGGATGCTGGCCCACACAAGCAATCGATACTCATTAACGGAAAACGCCATGTTGTCAGCGACCATCTATGGGGTGCTCTTCGCAGCATTCGCGATCGGATGTTGTATGGAGACATACTTGTTTGGGTAGATGCGATTTGCATTAACCAAGATGATCCGGACGAAAAGGCTTCACAAATCGCTATCATGCCATCGATATACGAACGAGCACAGGCAGTATATCTTTGGCTGGGTGATCATTTCGAACCACGATGGACAGGGCTGGCAAAATCCTGGAAGTGGGATGCGACGAAAACACTTCGTGAAGCCGAGGAAGAATGGCCGGGAACTGCAACATGGATATTTTCCTTGATGAATGCGGAGTATTGGAAACGTTGCTGGATCATCCAAGAGCTCCGCATGGCAAGTGACATATACGTGCTGTACCATGTACCTAGCTGGTACAAGTCCAAGAGTGAGGCTATACCTTGGGACATTTGGATCCATCTGGTCAGGCTGTTCGAAGCGCAGAATGAGGCTTGGGTTCCTACGCATATAACTCGAAGAGTCCTGCGCATTGAGGATATTCGCCATCCCGTAGACACGAACCAGAACACCTTCACTTCGCTTTTGGAAAGCTTCAACGATTGTTTCTGCTCAAACTGGGCCGACAAGGTGTATGCTTTGATTGGGATTGCAGAAGACCACATTACGGATGTTGTTGCAGCGAACTACTCACAGTCTCGATTGGATATGTACTCAGAACTGATACATCTTCGAGCGCCCTCAGTGCCACTAGAGGCAAGGACTTTGACGCAACAGAAACATGCGGTGGACATGGTCTATTTTGCGAGCCTACTACGAGCCAGTATATCACGAAAAGCGTTCTCGATGGCCAAATTCCATGGATGGCGCCTTCCCAGACAGGATCCTGGGAGGTGGGGATACATACGCAGGACCAGCTGTAGTCCGTGGTGTTCGTGGGAGGACGAAGTTGTGGCAAGTATCGTTGGCTACGTTCAATCATTGCTCAAAAGTCTAAGAGACTCGACTAAGGGCCGTCCTTTAGACTCGGAGTGGTTTTGGCACTGTTCAATACCAGAAAATAGTCAGGACTGGTCACCAGTGGAGTCGACTACCCGATCCGTGAGCGTTTCGGGCAGAATGACAGGAGTGGTGTATCAAGTAGGCCCGACCTATTTGTCGTTCTCCACGGACCCAGGGACAGCGAAGTCCTGGTTGAGGGAGTTAGGCAGCGACGCTCCGAGAGAAAAGGGAGACGTTGATCGACTTATCATGGGCCTACGGTACTTGACGGCGGTGCTGAAAGGCCGGGTCGGCTTCAAAGTCCGTAACTTTGTTCCGTTCGACGATACAACAAGGTTTGGCTATCTACATTCGAGATTATTCTTGGCCAAGGACCCGGAAGGCGTTCAGTTCGTTGGTATTGGGCCCAAGACGACGCGATCGGGCGATATTTTGGTTCAGTTCCTCAAAACGGATGCGGTACTGCTCGTACGTGAGTCTAGTCGTCTGGGATTAGTAGAGACAGTAGGGCGCGCAGGCGTCGTCAAAGGCGAAGGCACGATAAACAGTCCTTCATGGGATAGTCCCTCTGGAAACGACCTGATCCAGAAGGACGATGATCAAGCGTTTGAGACTTTGCTGACACTGCAGCAACTTACGCGCCTCTCCTTTGATTCGACTGTCTTGGACACCGAACGCGTGGCATGCCATCTTCCAGTTCCAGAGGCTGTTCGGTTTTTGGGATCGTGACCGAATATTGGAATCGGACCCTGGCTATAGCATGCGAAGTGGGGAAGCTGCAAGCCACCATGGTGGGAGCCTGGGGTGCATTGGTGCCACAGGTTCGGCCCACGTTGACGCCGAAAGTCGATACAGTCAATGCAAGGTGACAGACCTGACGTGTGCTCTCTTCAGTGGCCAGGAGTGTGATGATGGGCGGCGAGAGTGAAACTAGGTGGTGATGCTCGGTGTGTTGAGCTGGCCGTCTGGGCGCGGATTGGAGCGCTATGAGACCCTGCTTTTGCACTCCCCACATACATGAGCTAGCCCAGCGCGTGAGGAAGTCGCGACTGAGAAGCGACAGCTACGCGATACCATCCTCTGCTGCTAAGATCCATCCCATTCGGCCGGCACTTGCTGCACACCCCACCGAGAGCGCGATTGGGAGTGCATTGATCAGCATAGGCCCCTGAATCCGGCACCGAATGGCGACACCACCCCCGGCTCGCGACAGAGCTCCCTCGGAAAGCGTGCCAGTCGGGAGTCCGCAGCCCAAAAAACTGCCCGCCCCCTCAACGCCCACATCCTCAGTCCGCCGCAAGATGGCTGCCAATGCGCCTTCCCCAGCCTCGAAAGATGGCGTCCCTCCTCGCCGGCCAACTGCATCCAGCGGCACCGCTGCGAGCGCCCGTCGTCCTGCAGCGGCGTCAACAAGCACCGCGCGAACCACTGCGAGCGCGTCCAAAGCCCCCACCACGGCGACATCGCGCACCAGCACAGTCGGATCCAGCCTGAACAAGCCGCCTACGCGTCCGGCAGCAGGGACAACGGCGCGCAGGACCATCTCATCGTCGAGAACCGCATCCGATGCCGAGCCAGACCTGTCGTCCGTCACATCGGGCGACGAGAAGAAGAGGACAGCAGTGCGCCGGACGCCAGTCACGTCGTCAGCTACTTCGAGGCCATCTCCCGCCAAGCCGACTTCGAGGCAATCCATGGCGCCTTCCTCCACAACGTCGACTGCCGCCAAGCGTCCTGTAACCACACGCCCAACTGCAGAGGCAGCTACGACCCGCACTGCCCCACGCGCCTCTCTTGCTGCGTCGACACGGCCGACCGCTACTCGACCCACGGCAGGAACACGGACGGCAGGCGCGACAGCGAAGGCGCCGGCTGGGCCTGCGAAGAAGCTGTCCGTCTCTGCCCCTCCACCTCCAGCGCCGGAAACGGAAGATACAGCCGAAGAAGTGTGAGTCAGCATGAACTGCCAGGGTAATGCAACTGCTAACTGAATCACAGAGAGAGCCCCGTCGTCGTCACCCCTCGCCGTGCTCCCCTCAAGGACAAAGCTGCCTCAGATGCCGAAACCGAAAAGCGCAAGAGCGCTCTCGAGCCCATCAGGGCTTCCATGGCGAAACTCGGCGAGGAGCCGCCGCGTCCGGATACTGCGCCGACGGGACGTGCCGAGATGGATGTGGAGATGAAAAGGCGGAGCGCTCAGATCATGCAAGACTTCTTCAAGGAGACCAACCTACGCGACAAGCTTCAAGAGCAATGCGACGACCTCACCCGCGAAGTCGATAACCTACATTCGGAGAAGGATAAGCTGCGCAAACAGCTGGCGGATGCTCAGGCCGCCATTGTTGAGAAGGACAAGGCCATCTCCGGCGGCTCAGATGCCTCGCCTTCACAGCACCGCGCCCACACGATCCTCGTCGAGGACATGGAAAAGAAGTTTGCGAGAGAGACCAAGCAGCTGGAAGAGCAGAGCCAACAGCTGGAGGAGGAGAAGAAGGCTGCGCAGGAGAGAGAGGCAACCGAGGCAGCCAAGGCCAGCGAGCTGCAGCAAGTCCTGGACGATCTGAACGCCGAGCTGGAACAACAGGGCCAGCAATGGGACGAAGAGAAGAAGAAGCTCGTCGAGCAAGCTGTGCAGATCGAAGGGCTCAACAAGGAGATTTCTACGCTCCGGGAGGAGCGTGACAGCTTGTCGCAAGAGCTGGATATCGCCAAGAAGACGCTGGAAAACCTCGAAACGAAATTTGCGGAGCTCGAGCAGACCCAATCCGACAATCTCCGATCGCGCGATGCTAAGATCACCGAGCTGACCAAGACTGTCGATGAGTTCGTGACAGAGGTTGCCTCTCGGGAGGAGAGGCATACCAATGCCCTCCAAGAAGCACAACGGTCTCTTGAGTCAAAGTCCTCTGAGTCTTCAGCTGTCGTGGAGCAACTTCAGTCCGAGATCCAGACTCTACATCAGAAACACACTGACGAACTACGCCTCAAGGAAGAGACCATCGCATCTCACATTCAGGCGCAAAAGGAGCTTCAAGACGACATTGCCAAGCTGCAAGAACGGGCGGATCAGGTCTCTGCTGACTTGGACACCGAACGCAATGCCCATGCAGAACAGATGCAGGCCAAGATCGAGGAGCTACAGAAGAGTTCAGAAGCAGAGCTGCAAGCGAGAGAAGACGAGCTTTCTGGCCATCTCAAGTCTATCGATGGTCTCCAGGAACAGATCGTGGCTCTGCAGCAAGGTTCAACTGACGGTGCCCGAGTCGCTGAAGAGCTGCACAAGCAAATCCAAGAACTCAAGGAGGCTCATGAGGCAGCGATCAAAGTCAAGGCCGATGAGAACGAGGAGCTTGTGCGACAACTGGATGCCATGAACGAGCAGCTCACCACTGACGCCGCCGAGCTTGAACAGCTCAAGGAAGAGGCCGCAAGTCTCCGCAGCACCATCGAGACACTCGAGAAAACCTCGCAACAGCAAGAGTCTCAGCATGCCTCCGACATGGCTAAAGTCCAAGCCGAATTGAACGACGCGAACAAGAAGGTGGAAGCCCACAAGGCAGAGCTTGATACGCTGCACGATAGACACAAGCAAGATCTTCGGATCATTGGCGAGGACTATGAACGCGAGATTGAGTCGCTGCGGGCGGATCTTGAGGGAGACGCAACCAAGCGACTCAACACCCTGCAGGCTGACTATGACTCCCTCGTGACAGAGAAGAGCAAAACACTGGAACAACACGAGCAGATCCTTGCCGAACGATCCAGCGAGCTTGAAGCTGTCAAGAAGCAGGCAGAAGAAGCTCAGGAGAGTACCGCTCGCGCGACCGAAAATCGAGACGATGCGCTCATGAAACTCAAGAAGTTCGAAGAGGAGAAGGTGGCTCTCACAGAGGCACACGGCATATCGCAGTCTCTAGTCGCCGATCTTCAAGCCCGCGTTGATGCCCTCACCCAGGAAGCTGCCACTGTCAAAGACGTCCAGTCTCAATTAGACCGTCTGAAGGAGGAGAAAGCCGCCATAGAGGAGGCGCATGGGATGACCCAGTCGATCATCGCCGATTTGCAAGCCCGTCATGACTCCCTTCTGGAAGACAAGACTGCTGCTGAAGACGCTCATAGCCGAGCGATTGAAGCGCTGAAGCAAGACTCTGAAAGCCAGTCCAAGCATCTGCTCGCTGAACTACAAGCGAAGTATGATGCCTTGCTGGATGAGAAAAAGGCTGGAGAGCAGGAACACTATCGTGTGCTGGAGACTCAGAAGCAGGACGCCGATGCCTATGCTTCTTCGAAAGAACTAATCGAAGAAGTCCAATCCAAATACGACAGTCTGCTGCGCGAGAAGACTGCATCTGACGAGGAACACGAACATGCGATCAAGGCACTGAAGCAGGAATCCGAGAACACATCAAGACAGCTTCTGGACGAGCTTCAGGCCAAATACGACGCACTGCTCGAAGAAAAGAACGCAACCGAAGCAACCTATACTCAAACAATTGAGGCTCTGAAATCTGAGTCGGAAAGCACCACCAAGTCGATCCTAGGCGAGCTTCAATCCAAGTACGACGTACTATTGGAAGAGAATTCTGCGGCTGATGATGAGCACAACCAAGCTATCATGCACCTGAAGGGACAGGTAGAGGGCGCGTCCAAAGAGCTCCAAGCCAAGTACGACCAAGCTCAGGACAACGCAAAGAGCACGTCCGAAGCTCTAAGCGCTTTGCAAATGAAGCACGATGCTACCATGGAAGAGATCAACAATATCGAGGCTAACCACAAGGCTGAAATCGATGCTCTCCAGAGCCAACGTAACGACCTTTCCAAGCGACTTTCACAACTCGAAAAGAGCCACGCAGACGTGCTCACCGGGCAGCTGGTGACCGAGGAAGCACACGCAAAGGCACTCGAAACTCAACAGGCTGAGATTGAGCAAAAGTACGCTAGTCTACTTGAGATCATGCAAAGCGACGCCGATCGACTGGAACAGGAGAAGTCTGCGGCGCTATCGGGCAAACAATCCGCCCTCAACGAGCTTGCCGCTCTTAGGAAGGAGCTGAACGCTGAGATTGATGAACTCAAGGCCGGACTGTCAACGAAAGACTCTGTCCAATCGACTGGAACCGATGAGATGATTCTGAAGTACGAAAACCTCCTCGGCGAAAAAACCGCAGCGGAGAAAGAGCATCAGGATGCCATGACATTGCTTAGGGACTCTCTCACGCAGGACCATGAGCAGGCCCTATCGAAGTTGCAATCTGAGTACAACGCTTTGCAAGAAAAGATTGCCAAGACAGATCAAGAGCAGAGTGATGCAATTGAACTACTGAAAGACGAGTTCCAAGCAGGTCATTCGAACGACATGCAGGCCTTGAAACAACAGCTTGAGACTATGCAGAAACGGCACTCCGATCTCACCGAGCAGAAGGCCTCTATGGACCAAGCACATGAGGAAGCTATCAGCGAATTGATGGTTGGCATGGAGGCTAGCACATCCGACGCTTTGCAGCAATTGCAGGAGAAGTACGCTGCTCTTACCGCTGAGCTGGAAGCAGAGCGTTCCCGGCATGCCAGCGAAATTGAAGCTGTAAGGCAAGAGACAGCCACACAGGCAGCCTCAGACAGGGAAATACCGCAGCAAGCTCCAATCACCGACATTCCGGAAGCCTCCACATCGAACGGAAATGATTACGAAGAAAAGCTTCGTGAGGTGGAGCGACAACGTGATGAAGCCA